GTCGCCCTGGCACACTGTGAGCGCATTCTCAGAGAGAGAGAGAGAGAGAGGGTGGGTGGGTGGGAGGCTGGTGGTGGTGAGACCAGGTTGGGGACTGGGTAGTGGGTGGAGGTGGGTGGGGGAGGGTGTAAATAACACCCACTCCTTTTTGCCCCTGTGGCTGTCATGCATATTCATAGCCACATGCGAGTCATTAGGGACTCATGTTTTATTAGTCTACCCACCAATCTATCAGTTATCTCTGTGCCCATCCGTCTCACCCTCCGTCCTGCACTCCCTCTCTGGCTTGAATAAATAGTAATTACTGCGAGGCCAGTTGAAGGATGCAGCCTCCGCCTGCTCTCAGCCAGAGTGTAATGGCTTCATAAGCGCCGCTGATTGAATTGATTGCCACAGTTGGAGTCTGGCAGAGATGTACAATGTGGGGTGGAACGTACATGAGCGCCGAGCGCTAATCTGCCCGCGGGGACAACAGCAGGCAACAGGCTGCAGGTCGGCTGCAGGTAGAGGGGGGAGGGAGGGGGAGAGGGAAGGAGATGAGTGGAGGAGACAGGGCGGTCTCTTCCTCACTTATTATGATATATATTTTTTATATATATTTTTTATTTTTTTCATTTACATAAAACTCACTCATCCAGCACTTGAATCAGAAAAGTTTCTTTATTTTATTCACTTAAAAAAAAAAAAATTACAGACATGGTAAAAAACAGAACACAGAATCAGAGCAGTACTGTACTCACCTTCACACTCACTGTGTATTTGAAGTACATATTCAGTGTTGAAGTACAAAATAAATGGACATCGTCTCATATAGAACTGGTCTGTGGTGCAAAAAAAGTTTGGGAACCATAGGTTTGGACGCTTCGTCATAGCAGGTCTCACTACTGTCTTGTAAAAACTCCTCCACTTAATTCTTTTTTTTTTTTTCATTTTTCTTTTTGGGGGGGTTAGAGTTCTGTAAAACTGAACGTGATTTCATTTTTCTCTGCATTTTTGAAGCAGGGAAGTTTTAAAGCCTTGTTTTTTTTTTCTTCTCTCTCTCTTCACTTTCTCTGCGTCTGATTGGATCAGAGTCCCAGAGGCACGTACGGGTCTCGACTCAGTTTGACTTTTGTTTGTGACCATGCTCGGTCTCAGGGGAGCTGATTATAATTGTATGCTTTGGCAGCAGTATGGGCACAGTATGGGATTCTGCATGTGGGAAAAAAAAAAGAAAAAAAGAAAAGTAAAGTAAACAGGCAGCTTTAAAGTGGAGGGAAGGACGAGTGAGTGTGACTCAGTGAGGTAGACTGTGACTTGTTGTCAAAAAGTTACATTTACAACAACAAAATCACTAGTCTTCCACAACGAGTCGCACCAGAAGAACGGGGCGAGTAAAAAAAGAACAACAATAATAATTATAATAAAACAATAACAATCACAGAGAGTGAAAACTGTACATTTTTTCATTCTTTGTCTTCATGATTATTTATTTATTTTTAAATTAGAAGTCAATCATTTAAAAGTGTTTACGTGTTTTTTAAATGTCCAGTTTAATCAGTTAGTCCAGTATTTTCAGCTCAGATTAGATTAGATTAGATTTCACTTTATGGATCCATAAAGAGAAGGAGAAATTGTTGCAGGAACAAAGAGAATAAAATGACGTGGAAAAAAAATGAACGGCTAATTTTACAATGTTGAAGTACAAAAAAATGTAAGTAAATAAAAAATAACATAATAATAATAATTATCCCAGATATTGGAACAAAAACGCAGGTATTGTTGTATCGTCCAATCAGGCGATGGGAAAATCATGTCAGAATTCCTTCCTAGAATCCCACATTTCCAAGCGTTAGTCCAGACATGAGGACTGGTTACGGCCCAATCAAATCAACAGTTTAATGACCAACGGGGAAACATTTGTCTTTGCACTTTACGTTCGTCCATGAATCACAGTCACTTTATTCATTCATTACACATAATGTGATCACACACACACACACACTTACTCAAAGTCTACATTTGCATGTGTGGAAACAACAGACTGCGGGAGAGATGCATCAGCCTTGATGAGTTAATTTAGACCAGCCTCCCTGCTGCCTCTAGAGGCTGGAAATAATACACTGATAGCCACGTGAAAACACACACACACGTACATATATATATA